TGTTTACTTGGTAGGTTATTTTTTTCCCTTCACCTAATCCCCTGGGTTTATATTACCATCGGCTTTTGGAAATAGCCATATGGAGACCACACAGGCTCAGCTGGACAATGCAACAATATTCTTCCTTTCCACTGGCATTGAGATATTCCCCCTTCCCCACTCCTATCACTCTTAAATAAATGGAACTGTCAAAGAAAGTGGCATTTGGCTTCTCAGCCCTGGAAAGAAAACTAAAATCATTAGATAAGGATGCCCCCTGTAATGTCCATGTCTAGCAAAGCTGGCTCTGCCCCTTGATTTACAGGGAAAGAAAATAATAAAGGAGAGAGGATAAGCATTCATATCTGTGAGCTGTAACCATTGCTAAAACCACAATACACATTTTCACTGACATCATAGAAAATGCTAAATTGCTTCCTCCATGGGAACACATTTGGACCAACTTGCTTCTTTTACAAAGTGCACATGTAAAAGAGTAAACCATTATACCAATCTGGTTTACATTAAATGCTATTTTTGATGTTTTATTTCATTGTCTGTTGTTCAAGTCAGACTGAAGTAAAATCCTTCTTGCTGGTTCCAAGCTGGGGTGATGGTGGAATGGGATAGTGATTGTTTTGTTGCAAACAGGTTGAGTTTCCCTTATCCAAAATGTTTGGGATCAAATGTGTTTTGGATTTTGAATTTTCTTATATTTTGGAATACTTGTATTTGCATATACAGTCAGCCCCCTACATTTGCTGGGGTTAGGAGGTGTAAGGTTCCTGTGGAAGTTTAAAAAACTATGAAAAAAAATGCTATTCTTTAATCTGAAGGAACACTTCTCTAGGAATCTCAAGGTTCTCTAGTGGGATCCTATAGTCAACTTTCAATTTTGTGCATGAAACAAGATTTGTGCACATTGAATCTTCAGAAAGTAAAGGTTTCACTATTTCAGTGCTCCGTGTGAAAAATTTTGGATTTTCTAATATTTTACATTTCCAAATAAGGGATGCTCAGTCTGTAGTAGGTAATCTGAACCACCAAAGTGAGCTCTAGCCATGAGCAGTAGTCAACCATAGTCCCTCATAATTCCGAACGGGGATCAACGCTATTCATCCACCTCAAAAAGACACATCAAACTAGTTTACTGGGATCTTCCAGAGCATCATGAAACTGATGTGGGTATGCATTCAGAAGTGTACATAAAAATCTGTAGCATACGTACCTGGAGGATATTCCTTGCAGAATCACATGAGAACAATGACGTATGAGTGCCTACATTAGAAACCCCTTTGGAAGAATGACAGAAGATGAGAAAGAGCATTCATCAAGCATGCACATGTTCATCAGTTGAATCATCAAACACACATGCTAATAAACACCTCCTTCTATGGTTCTCTGAGAAAGCATCTAAAAATGAAGTATATGTGTGCCAACATTGATGCCATTCTATATAATCCTTCCACTGGACCAGTTCTTTTCATAGAAAGAACTGGTCCAGATTATCAGTTGAATCCTATTTCCAACACTGTCAATAGGGTAGAGTCCTCTTCCTGCTCTACCATCAACACACCTGAAAGCAGTGAGATAGAACTTCATCAGACAAACCTCACCACTACTAGCTCAACACACTTTTTGACATCTGTCCCTTCAAACAAATTTCCTGACGCAACAGAAGTGGTGTCAGCCTATTCATGAGAACAGCCAAATGTGTGGCACTGGTTGATCATGTTTATTACTTGGTTGGATGTCCATCTCAACAACACTATATGTGGCATGTCTGAAAAAGGTGAGCAGGCAAGAAAACTTACCCAAGCCAGAAACCAGTATACACTGTCACTGCTACTAGGTTAGGGGAATCGGACCAGAAGAGGTTCTCAGGGGGCAAGACTGAGGAGCATCAAGAGAAAAGGCCATGGATGCAGCTTCCTTTAATTAGCACCTGACCCTCAAAGTGGCCATTTCCCTCTCTCTAATGGCAGGACTGGTCCTGTGGACTTTTGAAAGGCAACAAGAAGAGAAATTACCTTCAAGCAAGTGACCTGCTTGGCAACATTTAAGTCAAGAGGAAATTGCAGGGAGAGATCTGGTTCCTCATTTAGAGATTCTGATCAAACTGTGGCATGAGAATGAAAGGGAGGGACCCTAAAAATGTCTGAAATTTACCCTAATTCTTGAATGTAGAAAAAAGAGTTAGCAGTGATGTTTTCTACAAAATCCATGTGTCTTTTACATTTACTGCTTGCTCATTTGATATGCAAGCATTCTTGTAATTAATAGAATCAGGATAGCCAGGATTTTAGACATGCTTTCAAGCATTCAGTTCACTATTCATACTTTCTCTCAGTAACCCCTTGTCTGTCTCTAATTCTACAATTAGAGCTCTTTTGTCAAACCCAAATACTGGTGGAAAAGCAAGGCTGAAGGCTTGCTTATGGACTCCTTGTGAGTGTTAAGATTTCAGGAGTTCAGGGAAACTGCCTACTTCACTGCTCAGTTTTCTGTTTACTTTTACTATTGACATCCTTTTTTAAAAAGCAAAGAAAGGATATGGACATTACGCCTTGTATGATACCATCTTTGAGTTTTTGACTGCTCTGTACAAACAATGGTTCATGAGCACAACAAATGTAAAGGAAGTTGAAAGATGATGACCCAGTTCATAGACATCAACATGAGAAGATTACATCTATTGTATCAGAGTCCATAAAGCCCACCACTAAAATAATGACAGGTGATTGGATTAAATTACTTAGCGTATCTGTATGTGAGATTGCATTGAACTACAATGAATGAATGTATATCCCCAGATGCCTAGACAAGAGAATGAAAACATGGGGTAATTTTTATTTGAATGTAAAACTAAACAAAGAGAGACTATTATGTAGGGAAATGAAAGCCTGGCCTTTCTTGGTGTGCCACCAAGAAAGAAAAACCTGTTGTCAGGAATTCCATATTGATCTATGGAGCAACAATATTTTTGTTAAGCCTTGATGATTCCAAATATGATTCAGCAATATGCATATAAAACATGAGTTAAAATATTTTCTATCTAATGAGACTAGCAGTTGCTGTCAAGAAAAGGATATAACAAGTCATCAAATAAAAGATGCTTCCTCAACATAAGACCTTAAAAATCAAAAACATAAAAGGCTTCATAATAACTTCCTAATCATGTTTATATAGATGGATATGTGTATTCATTTATAGATTCTACTTACACTACTAGCAGCTGACATATCAGAATGATGATCTGCATATAATAGACACACACAAAAGAATAAACTGATAATGAACAAATTTAGTCATTCCTTTTCAAAATGATGCACTGAAAGAATACGGGAACTGTAGGGACTTAGAGAAAATTGCTGTTTATTTTCAATATGATTTTGGATTGATTCCTTCTGCTCATAAAATATTAAACTCCTCATAAATGCAGTTTCCCAAGACCTGAGCCCCCATGCTTCACTAGCTCTCGGTATGGATATCTTTTAAAAGAATGCAAGAAAAATATAAGAAAGGTTATTGAATGCCAAGATGAAAAACGGTTGACTTGATTTTTAAGCATTTAGATTATGTATGGACTCTGTCACTAGGTGGCAGTGGACTCAAACATTCAAAATCACTATGCTACTTTGATAACTTTCAGTGTTTCCTTTTCTTCTCAAAACTCCTTCTCCAGAACTTCTTGTATGGATTTGGCTTCATGACAAATACTAGGGCTGGGCGGTTTTGTTTCGTTAATTCGTAATTCGTTAATAATTCGTTAATTTTTTCAATTACAAAACGATAACGAACCATTCTGGAGCAATTATTAAAAAAACGAATTTTCAAAAACGTTTTGTAAATGCTTCGTATTTCGATATTGTATTCGTTTCGTTATTGTTTTGAGGTCGTTTCGTTATTATTTCCGCATGTCTGGGCCAGTTTTATGGTTTAATTAGTAAAAAAAATTATAATATCACACCAACAGTCAACAACAGAGGGAGAGGGAAGCTTCAGAAGGTTTTGGAGGTTTTTTAGCGTATTTCGCGGTCGCGTCCGCCATTAACGAATCGATTCGTTATTGTTTCGGAAATCGATTCGTTAATTTTTTACCATTTACGAAATTTCGTAAATATCAAACTTTTTTAAAGGAAAATTTTGTAATTATTTTAAATATCGAAACAAAAAAAACCCCCAAATACAAATCGATTTTAGAAACAAATTTTTCCGTTGTTACCCAGGCCTAACAAATACAGTTGTTGGGAAGCCATTTTGTACCCCCTTCTAACATACATATGACTCTTTACAGAGAGCTTCCTGTCGAATCTACACCTAAATTTCAGCATGCCTAGACTACAGCAATGTGCTGTTTGTAGTAATATCTTGTAAGGACACATAGAAGCTTGTACTAAGGTACTGGTCCACAATACTGAGGTTCTAGTTTGCCAATACTGAAAGATCAGTATTTCTTGCCAGCTGTTTTCTAAGCAAATTCCAAGGTGCTAGTTTTGACCTTTAAAATCTTGAATAGCCTGGTTTATGAGTCTGTCTTCATGCTAAGAACTAAAGGAGAAACCTTCTTGAGGAAAGCATTACTCACAGTCCAGCTTAACAGGCTGCCAGAATTTCTCCTATACTGTTCCTGAATGGTCAAAATGAAGTCCCTTCAGAATTTGAGTCAATTCCCCCTCGTGCTGCCCGTTATTACTACAATATTTTACTAGCTTTACTGTCTTAAATTGCTTTTATCATGAATGTTAGTTACTGCTATTTATTCACAAAAAGGAGGGATAACCCACTTTTTGCAGCCTCCTTCCTGTTTCTTCTAACACCCAACAAGGTTTAATAACCAGAATAGGACAGAATGTGAAACTACGTCATTTCCAGTTTTCTTATGCTCACTAAACTTTTAAAATTATAATTAATACAATTTTCACTATTTCCTTTTGCATTATAAGGATTAAAACTGTAAAAAGCAGAAGATAGATTTTTTTAAAAAAGCTGTCAAACAATACATTGTTGTTTTTTTTAAAAAAGGAAGACTGCTGATGAATGCAAAAAGAAATAAAAAGAAATGTTGAGGCACTAAGTTCCTGAACAGAGCTTGGTAACTTTATGACCAAACAAGATCCTACATAAAAGTGCTCTGCGAGGATATTTCCCATGAGAAACTCCAGTGAGATGCTTTGTTCATGACCAAACTCTTCCTGGCTATCAAACATATAATAATAATAATAATAATTATTATTATTATTATTATTATTATTATTATTATTATTTTGTGCCCGCCTCTCCTCACGGCTGGGATCAATCTCTTCCATTTCTTCCCATAGGACATAACTTGCACTACTCCCTTCATCCCAACTCAGACATGAAGTGGTTGGAGAAGGCTGGGAGCAGCTGAAAAGCACCCAGCTAAGTCTCTCTAGCTCAGTCTTCCTCACTCAGCCTTTTGATCCTGGAAGAACCCTTGAAAGGTTTATTCAGGCTTCAGGGAACCCCTTCATAAAATGTATATTTACCACTCCCTCCCCCCAGAACAATCTTATGTGGAACCCCTACTGATCCTTTGTGGAAACCTAGGGCTTCAGGAAACCTGTTGAGTAACTTTAGTCTGGCTAAAAACACCACAGCAAAGGCATGTTCCCAGTACTATCTGGTGGTCTCAGAGGATGACAATGTCTGCATACTATCGACCCTGTTATTTCTCCTTCCAACTTCACTGCAAAAGGTAAATATTGAGAAGATGGGAGGAATATACTGTTAGTGAATTAATGAAGTCCGCCTTCTGCATGGGCCACAAAAATCAGGATGCCAAAAATGGTCTCAGCAAAAAAGAATGGGTTAACAATAAATCAGGGGCATGTATGTGTGTCTGCATACATTTTAATTGCTTTAATTGGCATACATTTTAATGGCAGAAGTTGCTAATTTTCAATTTTTCCCATGAGAATATCTAGGCTTAAGGAGTAGCCAAGCATGCATTTTCCTTCTACCTATATCAGTGGTTCTCAACCTGTGGATCATCAGGTGTTTTAGTCTACAACTCCCAGAAATCCCAGTCAGCTTACCAGCCATTAGGATTTCTGGGAGTTGAAGGCCAAACATCTGGGGGCTCACAGGTTGAGAACCATTGACCTATAACTTTCCAACACAGCAGCAGTATCACAATGTCTCCTCCCCACAATAGATGAAGCTATATAATTATGATTAAATTGAATAGGCTGCTTCTCAGTTGAAAGCAATCAGCAGAGACATTAGTCATTAATTAGGGACATTACATTGATGAAATCCAACGCTGATTTTAAGAGCAACGTGAAATGTCATCTGATACCAGGGGTTGCTGAATCTGACTTCTGAGGGATACAGTTTGCCTCTGCATGAAAGAGTTGTGCTGGATCCAGGATCACTTGCAAATCCCAATTGCAATATTCCAGACTAAACCTTGACTACTTTTTTAAAAGACCCTGTGTCCACAATGAACTCAGTCAAAACCTTTTGCTTTTGGCTGTTCAAAGGCTGAAGGCCAACTACTTTCCTAACATAGAATGTTTTATGAATGGCTGCTCTGTGTTGAATAAAAAACACAGTCAGTAGGTGAAAAATAAAAGCCTGTGGAAATGTCAAGATGGGGAAAAGGTCAGACAAAATTCACCTTCTCTGTTAACCAATGGCATTTTCACGGCTACCGTTAGAAATGCCGACTGGAGAACCTTCAGAGAAATAAAATCCTGCTTAAGAATGCAAAGTGAAGATGAAAAAACCCTCCAAATATTTCTCAGTCTCATATACATATATGTGTGTGTGTGTGTGTGTGTGTGTGTGTGTGTGTGTGTGTGTGTATGTGCTGGCCAGAACAGGTAGGAAACAGGAGAGGCTGAATACATATGCCAAAGTGGGAGGTTGTGATTTATTAAAAAAACAAAAAAGAGACTTTTCCAAGTGCCAAGCAAAGACCTTCCTCATGAGCCACAGTTAATGAACAATCTCCAATTTTTGAACAGGCCACCAACAACATATATCCTATTGCAATTCAGACCATACCCTGCTGCAAACACTTGCTATGCAGTGGTATCCAAGATAGCTGTTATGAATACAGATAACCATATACTACCCTTCTTCAAATGCCTAAGGATACCACTCAAGCAATCTATCAAAAATAGACATTTGCCTCTACTTTCAGAAGTAAATGCAAATATGAAACCCTAGCAATTTGTTCCTTTAGCATAGAAGTATGCAATAATCTGCATAAAACACTTTTTAATGGTGAAGCATTTTTGTGTCAAGAGCAATCTTTGGAGGGACTCTATCCATGACAGTATTGGCATCCATTATTTCATGAAGTAGAAACATTCATAAGCTCAGGCTGCTAGTTATCACTAGAAGATGACAAATCCATTCAGGGCTCACTGACTTGCATGGGACTGTGTTACCTTATGACAAACAGAAAGGAAAGCCAATATGACTACACCTTAGAAAACATGTCTAAATTAAGGATAGATTGATCTGCAACATTCCTTTCATGTGATTATTTTCCCCTGCATGAAATGTTCAATACGTAGGCTGAGCTCCCTTATCACCAAATGCATTGTTATCTATTTGTAATGGCACATGTGTCATAAGGAATGTTCATTACTTGATAGCAAACTATTCCTTAGCTCACTGAAACTGGCTTTAAGGTGAGCTCTGTGGCTAAAACAAAAAGGAAAGAGAATGAAACTTTAATTAGAAAGTGTTAGAGAAGATACTGCTGCCATTGCACAAAGATTATGCTGCAGAAATTTGGTAAGCAAAAAATAATACTACTACTAATAATAAGAAATATAATATTCCTTGCACTAGATACTATTCAGTAAATACTCATACAAGCAAATTCTTTTTTTTATTCATTTTTTCTTTTGGTTTTGGTAGGGTTTTTGCACCTGCTCAAACCACACCAAATTGCATATCACTCTCACACACATACACACACACAATTTTATGATGGAGGCAGGATATATCATGAACTTGAAAAAAAAACATCCCTGCAGTTTAAGTCACCAAAGGACACAGGCATCCCTGCGGAAGATTGGGAGAGGTACGTGCATTCCTGCTTAGCATCCACATTATCTCCTTGCCAGATGCAAGACTTTGAAACTCTGGCTTAACAACTCAATCTAGAAACAGCATTGTTTTAAGGATTATTTTAAGACACCTAATGGACAGATTTGCAAGCATGAAATGGATCTGCAATGGGCGTTAGGAAATGATGTATCTGAAAAATAGCCACAACCCTGCTTTATCCACGGCTTGGTCTAGAATGGCTTTTAACAAAAGAAGAACAAGAAGAACAACAACAAGAAGAGCAGGAAAATATATAAAAAGAGAGCCATGGACAGTCATTTCCATCCCGCTGCCCAGAATTTGATGTAAACAACGTTCATAGAAACTGGGATTGTTAAGAAAGTTTATCCATATATCTGGATAGCAATAAAAAGCGTTTCCTAGGAAACTGTAAAATCCTGTACCAAGCAGTGTACAGCCAAGCTGAGAGGGATGTTAGGCTGAATTATATTATCAAGGTAACAACTTTGCATGAATTCTTTCAAATCCTGTGATAATGTACAAGGAGAATATGCATGTGAGAAGTCAGGATTTTGTGTCTTTTTTCCCTCTGGAATGCCTCTTGTTTGAAAACAAATTAGTTTGGGCGTTCGGTTAGAATAAGTCACAGCTGACATGGTTAACATTCCTTCGTTCTCATTATAAGCTCGCCTTCTCAGTACTTTCCTTCTGCTGACAATGAAACGACTGTCTCATGCCTCCCCATTTCTTCGAGGACTGCGGCCAGCATGCTCAGGTTGCCATCAGGAAAATTCTGGGCTTCCCAAAGGTCTAAGATCACACCGGTGGGGCTTGATTTTGTGGCAAAGTAATTGAGGTACCTGCAGTGGAAGAAAAATAGCTTCAGTTAAAAATAGTGTGTCTCCTCTGAATGAATGCCTGGAGGACGTAATGGGCTGGATGAGAAAAAACAAATTGAAAATGAATCCAGACAAAACAGACAAGCCTGCCATCAAGGGTCCTAATCTGGGGATGGAGATGTGTCAACCAGTCTTGGATGGGATTGCACTCTTATTGAAATGCTAAGTTCGCAAATTAGAAGTGCAGCTGGATTCGTCTCTCCAAATGTCAGCCCAGGTAGATGCGACAGTCAGGAATGCTTACTATCAGGTGAAGCTGAAATGCCAGCTGCGCCCCTTCCCAGATTTAGAGGATCTTAAGATGGTAGTGCATGCACTGGTGACCTCAAGGTTGGACTTCTTCAGTGCGCTTTACATTGGGATACTTTTGTACCAAGTTCGGAAACACCAGTTGGTTCAAAATACAGCAGACAGGTTGTACAACACCCAGGAGTAAGCATATCATTTCTATCCTAAAATTACTCCACTGGATGCCAATTAGCTTCTGGGCAAAGCATATGGTGTTGGTTTTGACCTTTAAAGCCCTACATGATTTGGGCCCATGTTACCTACAGAATCGCCTCCTCCCATACAATCCGCTCCGTACATTGTGGCCCTCTGGAGGACGTCTGTTCCAGTTCACCAGAATCCAACTGGTGACCATCACCCAGAAGACCTTTTCATCAGCCACCACATAACTATGGAATTTAAGACACAAGTGAAGTTCTATCTCTTCTGGCAGGCTTACCCAGACAGTTTTAATGATAAGTTTTAAACTTTCCTTCTATATCTAACTTTTTGTGTATTTTAATATGTATTTTATGAAAATATGTTTTAATATGTGTATTGTATGGAATTATTTTAAATGATAATGTGTTTTGATTATGTGTTTTAGCAATGTTGTAACCCACCTCAAGCCGTGAGGAGAGGCACATAAGAAATAGAATAATAATAATAATAATAATAATAATAATAATAATAATAATAATATAAAGGTAATGGTTAAGGATGCCGTTCACCTGATCCAACACTATATAAAACACACATGTCAAATGCAAGGCCTACGTACCGAATTTGGCGCACCACTTCATTTCATGTGGCCTGTGAGACTTTCAATGCAAGGGCAACATTGTTACATTTATATAGTCTTACACTTACAAAACCTTTTGAACACAACTATAAAGCAGATGTGGCCCTTGGTGAAAATGAGTTTGACACCCCTATTCTAAGATGATGATATACAAAACATTCTCCAACCATGTATTGTCGAAGGCTTTCATGGCCGGAATCACTCAGTTCTTGTGGGTTTTTTCGGGCTATATGGCCATGTTCTAGAGGCATTTCTCCTGACGTTTCGCCTGCATCTATGGCAAGCTTCCTCAGAGGTCTGCTGGAGCTGGGAAAAAGGGGTTTATATATCTGTGGAATGACCAGGGTGAGACAAAAGGCTTTTGTAAGTTGGGCTAGGTGTGAATCTTTTCAACTGACCACCTTGATTAGCATACAATGGGCTGACAGTGCCTGGAGCAAACTCTTCTTGAAAGGTGATTAGATGTCCCTGCCTGTTTTTCTCTCTGCTGTTTTAATTTTAGAATTTTTTAATACTGGTAGCCAGATTTTGTTCATTTTCATGGTTTCTTCCTTTCTGTTGAAATTGTCCACATGTTTGTGGATTTCAATGGCTTCTCTGTGTAGTCTGACATGGTGGTTGTGAGAGTGGTCCAGCATTTCTGTGTTCTCAAATAATACTGCTGTGTCCAGGTTGGTTCATCAGGTGCTCTGCTATGGCTGACTTCTCTGGTTGAAGTAGTCTGCAGTGCCTTTCATGTTCCTTGATGCGTGTCTGGGCGCTGCGTTTGGTGGTCCCTATGTAGACTTGTCCACAGCTGCATGGTATACGGTAGACTCCTGCAGAGGTGAGAGGATCCCTCTTGTCCTTTGCTGAACGGGGCATTTGTTGGATTTTCTTGGTGGGTTTGTAGATTGTTTGTATGTTGTGTTTCCTCATCAGCTTCCCTATGCGATCAGTGGTTCCCTTGATGTATGGCAGGAACACTTTTCCAACCATTTTTCTGGAAGATGTGAGGTTGGACAAAGCTGATCAATGTTGTCAGCACCATTGTCAGTGACTATCTATCCAATATGAGGGAACAGAGCAATGACTGGCCAATATTGTTACTTATGGGTGAGTAACATAACTTGTTACTGAGAAGGGGAAGAAGCAGAGGACACTGTGATACTGTAAGCAAGCAGTGGTTCAGCATGTGTATTGCTGCTGTAATCCTGCAACATGTGGGACTCTTCTCTTCATCTGTGGCACACTGCATGAGTAACATAGCCTAATCCAGAATAGATTGAGTTGGTGAGCATCCCACTGATTCCATTGTGAAAGGCAGAAGCTGGGCAAAACTTGCTACAACCAATGAATCTCAGCTCATGAATGCTGTGTGGGGTGTATATTTGGTAATAAATGTGAGAACCAGAGACTCATCTATAAAAGTCTTGGAAAGTTTAAAAAAAGAGGGGGGGGGCAGGAGCAGATAGGAACAGATTACATCTTGAAAAGAATTGTGTAGGAATCCATTTAGAAAGAGAAGAATGCGGAAAATATTTATCAGATATGGGAGCTGAGAATAGCAAGTATTCAGTGTAAATGTTATTTGCTATGTGTAATTTTCAACATTTCTGTCTAATTTTTAAATTTTTCATCATCAACTAGGGAGATTGGTTATGATTTATCATACTGAACTCACTCATCAACACATCCATTTATATAGTGGTTGCCTTGTGGTTCAAAAAACTAGATCCAGGGAGGAATCCTAAGGGTAAAAGCACTAGGTAGATGATAACAGCCCAAACTGCAGGGGCAATCTGGTAGCGGACCCATCATGTGCATTGTGAGATGTAGTCACCTATCTGTATTTCTTGCACAACCTTGTTTGAGATAAATTTCAATGGAGATGGAACATCAGACATTCCAAAAGGATTGTGTCATGCATAGCTAGAAAATATGTTCATGTATGTTATCTACTGCAGAATTGTGTAGTTTGGCCAACAAGCTCACCCACCTGTCCAGTTTTAGTTTATGGGCCAGCATCCGCCAGTCATGACCTCTCGTTTGGGGAGCATCTAGGCTACTGCAAAGCTTCTGACGAATTGGAAGAGGGATACTGAAGGCGCAGGGTCCTACAATAGAGGTGATGGTGTCTGCCGGATCCACAAGTGGATATTCAATGCCAGTAGGTTCCTGCATAATACAGAAAAATGTGGGGAAAATAGAAACAGTATTATTAGAGGAAAGAAAACAATTCATTTATGTTTTAGAGCAAGATGAATAAAATAACCTAACACCTTTAAGTAGAAAGGCATTCTATTTTTTCATAAATTAATAAAATATAATGTCCCTTATGGTGAACCAATCTTTGTGCATTGTCTATTACAAGAGGATGTTTCAAAGCCTTATAGAAAAGTATTTTCTAGCCAGAAATACCTTTCACTGGGACAGAGGGAATGTGGCCTACAACAAGATTAGAGCTGCCTTACTGTGTTTCCTTTCCTGCAAAGGGATAATGCCTCTAGCAACACTAGAATGACTGTCATGATTATTGAGTATGGAACTGCCAGATATCACAACCCTCTATCAAGCTATTAAATGTGTATGTGTATGAGAGAAAGAAAGGAGATGAAGAAGAGAGTAGACTAGTAAAAGTGTTTCACAACTATTATATGATGTTCAGGAGTCCCTCACCCAATATCGTTATGAATGAGGTTCATGGTGATACTGAATGGACTCCCCAAATCTGCAAAAATGATAGTAAATAGGAGAGCCTGTGCAACTGATTACAAAAAAAGGAGAGTGCCACCATTAGAAAAACAGAAGCAATACAGGAGCACATAGCCATTAGCAAAAGAGCAGGTAAAAGATCTCCATGAAGATACATCCTAGGATCATCTGTACATTAATCATATGGTCTGCCATTGTACTACCATGTTCACAGATAAAAAACTAAGACAATGTGTGACAAGGCAACATCACAGCCTTGTCAAAGGAATGTGTTTAAACAACAAGAAGGCAAAACATATTGCAGAAACACTACTATTTTTAAGTAAGGAAACCCTGGAATTTATGTACCGAGTTAAGGAAAGTTGTGTGTGTGTGTGTGTGTGTGTGGGGGGGGGGTTATTTGGAACGGGAACCATCCTCTTCTCTCCTTTCTTCTCTGCTAAGCTAGCTGGCTACAAACACTGCACTTTGAAATCAGTTTGAAGAAACAGAAGTAAGCTGAGGATGAAAGGAGGTAAGTAGGAAAAGAAAGAAACTGGGATATTTTAAAAGTGGTAGAGAAAGCAGGATACTAGAGGACTAACTGGGACCCCTTTCACACAGCTGAAAAAATCCCACATTTTCTGCTTTAAATTCGAATATATGGCAGTGTGGGCAAAGATAACGCAGTTCAAAGCGGATATTGAGGGATTTTCTGCCTTGATATTTTGGTTTTATTGCTGTGTGGAAGGGCCCTATGTGGGACTTTCTGCCTTGATATTCTGCGATATAGGGCTGTGTGGAAGGGCCCTGGATATCTCCTTGTCAAACCAGAACAATTGGAGGGTATGTACTATATACTTTTCACCCATGACATCTATTTACATGGCATGACCACTAGACTAGTGGCATAGTTTAGACCACTGACTTTTAAATAATGCAACTTTTTGACATACACACTTTGAAAAAGAAAACAAATACACAAACTCCTTACTCAGTAGAAAAAGTAAAATTTACACCTAAGCTAAACACTAGCTAGACTTACAGACTGTGTTTTCTACCAGTTCATTGCTAATCTGCCTTTCTTCCACCAACATCTCTGACAGATAAGTGAGAAATAGCGACCAGCCCAAGATCAGCTTTATGTGTGAATGGGGGCAAGAACCTTGCTCACTCATGCTCTACTATACTTGGGCCTGTTTTCATCCATAAAACCAACTTCTCCTTCAATTTAAGTATTGTCTTTGTCAGTTTCCCTTTTCAAGCTTCCATCCCCTTATTCATCACACATTTACATCTAATACAGCACTGGAAAGTTGCTTTTTGAAGAGGAAGCAGACCAGCAACTATTAAATGTTTTTATTGCAGAATGTTCAATTCTTTTAAAGAAGAAAGCTTTTCAAATATGCTAAGGCATAACGGCCTATATACTTCATGTTCCCAGATGCCACCTATCTTCGCTTAAAATCAGAAAGAGCTCTGCAGGTGGCTGCCACCCATGTAAATCCTCAAGTAGAGATTAACATTTTGAAGGAGTCTGTTAAAAAGAGCCCTTTCTGCAAGAAGGAATGTCAAAATGAAAGAGACATTTCAAATTCATGGATAAAGGATATTGGGAAACAGAAAAAGAAAATAATAACAGATCCACATCACTAGGCAACTCTCACATGCAGCATCTCTAATTTGCAGTATTTCAAAATCAATGCACGATGCTTAGCCACCCTCATCGATAGAGACAGGGGAATTGAGATCATAAGCTCACATCCACAATACAAAAAAACAACTCTGTAGCAGAACAAACAGCCTGAACTCTGCCTTGATTTTACTCCCCTCCCCTTCCCAAGATCAGCACCTTTCCCCCTACTGTTTTTGGCATGGGATGAAACAATAAGAAACCTTTTCTGTTTTCTTGGAAGAAAATTGGTTGACTAGGGGACTGTCAGAGATAGAAATACATATATTGTTGACACCTGTATTAAAAGCACATACATATCCATAAACAAACAAACAAATATATATGCATACATACTATATATATAGTTCTGACATTTAAAGCAGATGGGAACAATAAAAACATCATTTCGGGCTCTCACATCTGAAGCAAAAGAACAGAAATTAATTTGGCCATCATACCAGCGGACTGGAAAAGCAAGGCAAATGTTGTCTGTGAACTACTAAAACAATAAAAGGGATCCGCTTTAAATGTCAACTCCTTTATATTTCAACTAGCTGCCTTGATATCCATGACATATCTAGCTCTCTACAATGCATTACCACAAATAAAACCACTTTAAAACTTGCTCTCGTCCGCGATAATAGCAAAAAAGAAGTGTGCCCAATTTCAGAATGCCAAGGGTCAGCTCAAAATACTTTGCTGCCTGAAAAGGCATAGCAAACAGCAAGCCTCCCTACAAAGCTTAAGCATAGGTCCCAAGGCAAACCTGGTTTTCTTTTGCACCTGGAAAAAATCTCATCTCTCTCATAGTAAAATAATATAAATAAATATGCAGGTAATGAATTTATAACACGATTTTTATGATACTTTCCCCCTCCGCACAACACCTCACACATCTACTTGAAATGGTTGCTTCACTCCAACTAGCGATATGGCTGACCCTACTATTAAAAACAGTAATGAAAGTCAGAAATACACAATCTAAATTACTATATATGCAAGAGATGTCAGCAAAAAGTAAAACTTAGAGAAACTTATAACCCTTGCTTCAAAGAATAGATGAGCTTTCCTAAATTCCCAAAGGTCCTGAAGGTCCCAAATCCACCCCCCCCCTTGCCGCCCTTTATAGCTGTCTTAAATATGATCTTATGAGGTGTAAATGAACAAGGGTGTGCCTTAAGAGTGCAAAATCAGAGGTGAGAACAACATCCTAGGCATAATTCAAGAGCAGATAGAATTTGTTCCTAGAAAGAATTTCCCATAGGACCTTCATGGAGCCTTTATTCGATGGAAGGTAAGAGAATAAAAGTGTGGAGTCCAAAGGCTCTTTTCTTCTCCGTTTCATAGCAGCTATAATAGCAATGAGGAAAGAAATCTGCAGATTTTCTTTGAGCCTTTGCATTGTCTTAGATAAGGTACCCAATTTCTTTCAATTCAGTTAATTTTGACTTAATCCAAAGAAATCTTAGTGTAGCTTACCCACCTGTGCCATACACTCATTTCTGGAGTCTCATGAGACTAGAATGCTGTAAAGCAAAATATATTACACTCTTACTGAAAGTTGCAGGTACACTGGAGTTCACGAAGTGTTCTCAAAATATTATTTGACTAGGATGAGGGCAAACAATAATGTAATGAGTAGGAAATGTACCAAACAAATCAAACTTGAGAGTCTTGCATCTAAAGGTCCAAGAACTTGCTATGGTGTAAAATACAAACAAGTGAAGTGGAGGGAGCTGGGCAGATGACATGTTAAATAAACTGGCAATGTTGAAATGAGAGTAATAGAATAATAGAGTTGGAAGTGACCACATCAGCCATGTAGTCTAACCCCTTGCCATAAGGGAGTTTTTATAAACATCCAGTTCCCAGAGTATAATTGTTTTCATTGGTGACTGTAACGACAGAAAGAAGGCAACCACTCTAGCTTTCCATAATCTGGGTGCAGCCACTAAGAATTACCTTTCTTGCATTGTCAATAGATGTTCTTGTAAGGATATCAGGACATGAGCAATCTCTTAAGAGAAAATATGGTCTTTGTTACTATGTCAAAAAGCTGGTAAGATAGCTAAAACTTAAGTGCTATTTTCTTACTCCTTTTTTCCAACCCATTCTGTCAAATTTGCAGGACTAGAAGAAGATAATTTAGGGAGAAGGGCAGACTAGAATGCAGTAGTTGTTGGTCAGACCAAATTTGATCCAGTTTCCCTACATCGAACCTTAAGACCTGGCATTTCTATTAAGATTATGGAGTCAGTCAATTGCCAACAAAAAGGGGGGTTGTGGGGACAAGAAGAAGATTTTTAATGCAATGCTGAGCAACTTATGCTCTCCTCATCTTTAACTCTGTCAAGTGCAGCTAAAGCTAATTAATAATGGGAACTGCACTACCAATACATCTGGAAATCATATGTGGGGCTCTCTAGCTTTAACAACTAGTCTCTTTAGGAAGTGTTGCCTTACCTCAAAACCAAGTGCACAACCCTCTTATATTAGTGAATTGCTCTCACTATTGTTGTTGTTGTTGTTGTTATTATTATTATTATTATTATTATTATTATTATTATTATTAAAGCAATATGCTTGGATGCTATTGCACTGAAGGAAAACACCTTTGACACTGGTACACCAGTGTTCATGGGTGGATTTAGAAGTATAAAAATCTAATAGCTGTGGCCTTTTGGAAGATTACAAAGGGCAAAGACCACCACATCTTTCCTCTCATGACAGGGCACAACAGCAAGTCAGGCAAATGGAGAGACTGTGCCTTCACCTCTCCATCTTGACAGATATGAAAAGGAAGAGTTTA